GGTTTATCTTGTAACTAAGATGCTAAGGCCAGCGCTATGAAACATACCCAGATATCAGAATTATACTTTTGTTTCAAGTTGGCAACACCAACAAGCCCCTCTGTTTACCTTATTTTGCTGCATAGTTGTGGTACCAGTGTCACTGCCAAACATGACAGAAACAGAAGACATGTTTTAACAGTAAACTAACTAGTGTTTGAAAGGAAAATATAACCCAAATGAAGTGTCAGTATTAACTTTATTGATGTCAAGCAGATTCCCAGCAAGATCAACAAAAAGCTTGTGCAAGTCATCATTATTTACTGTTGGAGGGTAGAAAGGTTCCGTTTCATCAATGGATCTGATAGTTGCGTTACACCTCTGCACAGCAGCTTGATCAATGACAACCTGTATAAATGAATCAGCCTTAGCCCCTAACCCAAATAAAGTGACAAATACTATTCAAGTGAAATCTATTTTTGTTGCAACACAAAACTCATAAGCTTGTGTATAAAGGCGAGATGTTGGAGTTCAAACCATTACGGGGTTTAGCAAGGGAACGCCCACGATCTTATTCTTAGAGTCATGGAAATGTTCACTCTCAAACTCATAAGTTCGTTTGAATAGACTTTCAATGTATCATAATAACATCTTTTTAATAACCAATGCAATTATAATCAAGCTATTAGCTTTAACAACCACAAGAAAGAAATTAGTAGATTAGTGTTAGGTGATATTGTATATCATTGAAGATATCATTAATTTCAGATAGTATGGAATGTCCTACATACCTCATTACATTGAGAAATGATATTTCTAAAGAACTTGATCAAGATAAACTTCTAATATCATCTTAGTAAGTGGGTTTAGTTCAGGTATACCTGCTCAATGCGCTGTATAAGTTGCTTCAATCTTTCTCTAGAAAAAGCTCGGAGGGTGCCACCAATTGTGACTTTAATTGGAATAACATTGAATGCGCCACCTCCTTGGAACTTTGTAACAGTCAACACCTCCGATCACCAGAAAGATAATTTATGGGCTATTCATCTTAGATTCACACATACCTAGATTTCCAATACCAATGTAACATAAGCTCAATCCATGTATAAGAGATTGACATTACCTTCAATCTAAAATCTTAAGAGAATAAGATTATGGGTCTTCATCCTTATATAAGGACGATCAACTTTTTCATTTTTATTCACTGAGCTTAGACTAATACTCTGATTTTCCAACATTAATTACTTAGTATCCAAGTCATCAAATTTTTCCCATCCCTTGTAATAATCAAGACATTTTATCTTGTTTTCAATTCTATAAGTGCTCATCCAAGCTCAATTTTCCAACAAAGCCATTCAGTCAGTTTGTTGCATAAATTATAGTAGTGTAACTGCGTATTAATAATAATGATCCCTGAAACTATAGTTATGTCCAATTCTCTCAACTGTTGAAAAGCTCTAACAACTTCTATTCTATATCTGAAGCAGCAGGCCAAAATTTTTCCTGAATAGATTGGAACCATAGACCCTGCTTATAATTTCCTTTTACTTCGTTTTCTTCCTTTTGAATTCCACATGTAATTTAAGTAAACATACAGACTGCTCAGCAATTCCATAGTCACAGATTCAAATATCATAAAAACATCATCATGTGAGCAGTAAAAAATCTAGCAAAGTTAACCAAATTTACCTTAGGTTCCAGAGGATCAGCCTCGTGAGAAACAAGGTGCTGTAAGCTGATAACTTTATCATATAAAACACCACATGTTTCATATGCGATGATAAGACAGCTTAACTAAGTTAATTAAGTTTAAAGTAATTTATAAATTTATATATTTTTAATTGAATTTTTGTATTTCTTTTAAAAAGTTTATGATGTTTAATTTGTTTGGGTAACATGGTTATTATTGTATTGTATTATCTTATCTGTATTTACATATTAAGAACATATGGTTTTCATCACACTTGCAATTAAGGAATTCTCAGTATCACCACTGATAAATGATGGGTCTTTTGTTATCTAATGAATTTTTAATAAAAACTATCAAAATCTATATTAATTGTAATAGGATTTTATATTCATCATAAAATCTTATATCTATTACCCAGCAGAGCAGAAATAAATAAGTAATAAAATAAGATAAAGATAAGAATCCATCGTCTAATTAACAAAAAAATTAAATAAAAAATATAAAATTTTAAATACTTAATATATTAAAATAAAATCAATTAAAAATACTCAAATTTATAAAATAATAAAGAGCTACAATTGAATTTTGGCTTTTGCTTATTACATCGTTTATTCGATAATGCTGAAGAATGTATTATTTTATCTTTAATTGTTATATTTAATATAATAATTTTAAATTGAATTAAATTTAAAGTCATTGTTAAAGTTTATTTTAATAAAATTTATTTTCTCATTAAATATATTGTTCATGTTTTTTAAGATGTATATATGTTAAAAACAGACTAAATATACTTAAATACACTTCTTAATTGCCAACGGACATCGATTAACCAACAATTCGAAATTAATAAAGCAAAGGTTGAAATTATTTTGAATTCATCAAAATGATCAAAGTTCTAAAATAAAGATGACAAGTTGGAGTTGGAAAGTAGTGAGGAGTGAGTGGTGAGCACATGCATGTTTACAATTTCTATCAGAAGAGCAGAGTTTAATGGAAAAAATAATGCAGAAGATTACACAGAAAGAAATGAAAAAGGCAATATATCAGTATCTCTTTTTGCTGCTGTTTGAGAATCTTTGCTGCACCAAGAACCAAATATAGCCACATCTGTGCATCTTTCCAGCTACTTTACTCTCTCATAATGTTTGTAATGACAGAATGAATCAAATCAAAGTGTTGAATGACAGAATAGTGTTTGTAAAACTTTGGCAAAGGAAACCAACTCTTTCATTTAGTTTTTTTGTAAAAAGAAAACATTTTGACTTAAAGAAATAATTGCTACTTCTCATTCAATAAAAACTTTAAGTGGTATTTTTGTGTACAAGAATCACTTTTTCTTCATTGTCATAAGTTCACAAAAAGTACTTCTGCTGCAATAAATGCTCAAAAAAGGAAGCATCACAGACAAAAAATAATTAAGAAAAGCCAACAATAGAAAAATAATTATTTGATAATTAATATGTTCATATTTTAATTATTTTTTATTTGATATATATTATTAAAATGGGTTATACGAGGAGTATTTTTTAAGAGTATAAAAGTATAACTTTTTCAAATTTAAATGAAAAAAATATTATTCGGCGTCACTTTTTTTATTTATATTTATTTGATATTTTTATAAAACAAATATTATGTTAAAATAATATGAATAAAATAATAATTTATAGAATTGTAATTTGAATGTAACAGAAGAATGAAATTGGGAAAGAAAAATAATTTGACACGCCTAAATTTTTTTTACATTAATTTGACATTATCTTTATTTATTTTTTACTTTTTCCTTTTTTGAAAAGATACAAAATTATACACTTTTATGACTATTTTATCCGTCTATTCTATGTGAAGTATCATGATATCATTTCATTAATACTATATTTGACTCATTTTAGATACAAGATGGAAAGTTTTAAATATAATAACTCGACCTGCAATAAAAAAAGTGTCCTTACAATTTTGTTTTGCATGCAATGAAAGCAAACCAACACAAACAAAGTAAAAAAGAAATTCACAACCCATCTATCCTATATACCATTATATAACTTATTTAAATTTTAAATATTTTTTTATTAATTAACTTAAATATAATATTTTTCTATTTAAATGAAATTGTCATTATTTATTAAAGGGTTAAATATGTTTTTAGTCCCTAAACTATTGACCGTTTTTGGTTTTCGTCTCTCTTCCAAAGTAAGGTACAATTTAGTCCTCAATCTTTAAAAAAGTTCGTTTTAGTCGAAAAAACGAACGTTTTGAGGACTAAAACGAGGACTAAAAACAAAACTTTGAGGACTAAAACGAACGTTTTTCTAAAGAATGAGGACCAAATTGTACCTTACTTTGGAAGAGGGACGAAAACCAGAAACGGCCAATAGTTTAGGGACTAAAAACATATTTAACCCTTTATTAAAAGTGAATTGTCAAAAATTAACTTTTATTATTTATTTATTGTATATTAACCAGATATTTTTTTCCATAATTAATCACATTTTAAAGTGAAGTATAGAAAACAAACAGTAACATTTCTTTTTTTCTTATTATAAAACATATAAACTCACTATAAGATGTGTTGATTATTTTTTATTCTTTAATTACGGTAAAGTATATTAAGAGATATTTATTCATGGATTAAATATGCGAAAATATAAATTAATATATTTTCAAAAATTTAATTCAATTTAGTCATTCGAGTTTAGAATTATATTAATATAATCTTTTTAAACAAATTTTGTTAAATTTATTTGACATTTCAAATGTATTTCATGATAACATTTTAGTTCTTTATACTGTTTAATACATTTTTTTTTCAATATTAGTTGAAAAATACGTTTAAAACTAAATAAACTTAATAAAATTTAGTTAAAAGAACTAAATTCACACCATTTTAAAGAGAGACTAAATTAGTCCGAAATTTTGGAAAGAGATTACTTTCAATTTTCACTTAAAGTTAAAGGAGCAACAACATATTTAACCCTTTATTATTATTTTTTTTTTCTCAAATTCCACCCCTGCCCCTTCTTCCTTCTAGAAATATTAATAATGAAATAGTTTTACAAAACTGATTCTCATACTTACTCCACTTTGCACACATTCAAGGACTTAATTAGAATCTTCACATGTTGAAGAACTAAATTAACACTCTGAAGTTCAGTGCCTAATTGAACATTTAACCAGGTCTATAGGGTCTTTTGGTTGAGACCCAGATGACAACTGTGACAACTTTATAACAGATACTATTTTCCAAAAATGGAAGCAAGAAGAAGGGTAAATTTTCACATGAAAAAATTGGTAGTTTATTAAAATGTAAAACAGCTTTATTTTCTTAGCTCATGCATAATCTCAACACCAGGTTTAATAAAAATTTAATTACAAACCAGTTCATAATGTCATTGCTACAAGAAACAAAATGTATATTGTTATTATTTTAGTGACTACTAACAGTCATTTTTTCCAACAAAAAGTAAAGTTCTGTTACAATTCATCATGATATTTCCCCTCTGCAGGGGCTATGTCCTGCGGATGTTTCAGAAGATAACTAACAGCTAATGAGGCATGAAGTGCAGCTCCATAAGGAAGAACATCTTCATTGACTTTGAAGTAGGGTGAGTGTACCTGCTCAAGTTTTTCATGTGAGGCATTCTGCATTCCAATCATGAAAAAGTAGCCAGGTATAACCTCTTGATAGAATGAAAAGTCTTCAGCTCCCATCAATGGTTGCATGTTATTTACTTTATTCACGCCAAGCAAACTCCCTGCAACACTCCGAAAATGTTCATGCAAGTCACCATCGTTTATGGTTACGGGAAAGAAAGGATTCTGTTCCTGAAGGAAGTTCACTGTTGCATTGCACCTCTGCACAGCAGCTTGTGCAATAACAACCTGCATCAACGAATTAGCCTTAGAATCTGCCAGGATCACGTGTAATGAAAACTGTATGATGTGAGTGAATCCATGTTATAGTTGAAATTATCATGTAAGGGTGTTTCTTATTTTTATTGTAACACGTTTCTGTTGATAATTACAAAAATATTTCTTCATTTCATTTTGTGTCATGTTTTTAAACTAAAGGTTGAGCCTATAGAAACAATAAACAGAAAGGATAACAGCAGATTATTGTTTGATGATATAGAACATGCCTTATGTGTACACTTAGAAAAGATGAAAGTAAAGGGCAAAATACATCAAGCATTTTTTGTAAATTAAAATCAACTTGTGTTTGTAGAAGATGAATGAGAGTTTTTGTAAGCATTCAAGTGCATAAGTTGACTTTAATATAAAAGGAGAAACTTAATTCATTTTATTTGCTGATCCTATAATTACTTTTAAGAAATGTACGAACAAGACTAAATATAAAAACAAATTCTGATCATTTTCGTTGTTTTAGTTTATGTATACAAAATAAATGTTGTTCTTCTCCATGATATACCTGCTCAATGCGGTGTCTTAATTGCTGGAAGCTTTCTTTTGAAAAAGCTCGGAAGGTGCCACCGATCGTGACAGAATCTGGAATGATATTGAATGCACTACCTCCTTGGAATTTTCCTACAGTCACAACCTGTGTGCAGATGCTTTCTATTTTAGGAAGGCACAGAGGATTCAAATTCCTTCTCGAAACAGCACTTCGTAATATTTAATTAGTAATAATCACATTTGACATATGAACATGTTCTGATGCGTGCCAAAGGCCAAAGGTTCAGCCATCTCATCCTTTTCACAAGAAACCTTTTTGTAACGAGGTATGTAAACTAAATGTAACTGATCAAGCCTTTATACAGAATTACAATCTCTACTCTTGACAACAGACGTCTAGACATAAGAAGATCAAAGGAGTGGATTAGTGTATATCCATATGTTATTGTTACCCATATGTTTGTATTTCACAAACCCTTACTCTCTACAATCCAAACCCAAGTTTAAAATCAGCTGTCATTCAATTTTAAGATTTCGAAAGAGATAAAAAACTACCAGGATAGATTCTCTTCAAGGTTTTTGCACCTGCATCAATGTCATGAGTAGCTCTTCTAGTATTTAATACAAGAATATATACATATCTAAGGTCTCAAACAAGTGACCAAAAGGTAGAATTGGTGCTTCCAAATTTTATGTGGATAACACTAGGAAAAGTTTACTTAAATGACAAGGCAAGTTTGATTGAAGTGTAAGCAATAGGTTTCTAGCCCAATCACAAATTTTTCATAGCCTGGGTTCAGAAAAAAGTATAAATTCTTTTATTTAGCAATGAAATAAGAACATCACTTGGCCTGGTTGTCACCCACTAATTAAGTGGGAGCTTTGTCTTTTAAATCTCAATTGTAGGAAAACAACAGAAAGCAGAAATGAGTAGTTGGTGGCAAGGGAAAAGGAAGAAATGAAATTAAAGCGAACTTACCTGGGAATCCAGAGGGTCAGCCTCGCGAGAAACAAGATTCTGTAAGCTAATTATAACATTAGAAGTTGCCAATATAGGGTCTATAGATTGTTGAGGAATGGCTGCATGACCTCCTTTTCCCCTTATTATAGCTTCAAAATAACCATTTCCTGCCAACATTGGACCAGACCTAGAGCCCACTTCACCTAATGGGAAGTTACGTGACACATGCAATCCAAAAATGGCTGAAACATTTTCTAAGGTTCCAGCCTCTACAATTCTCTTGGCTCCCCCACCTCCTTCCTCTGCTGGTTGGAAAACAAGAACTACAGTTCCCTATTTAGACATCAAAATAATGAAATTATCATGGATACATGACAGGGTGGAAACAAGAGAGCACGACAACTGATATTTCATAATAAAGTAGCAGATATGGGAGACTGTCTTGGTCAATTAGAATGATATAGTGGCCAACTTTCTTTTACTTTTCATTCACAAATACCTTATAAACAGAGCATATGCTTGATACTAACATGATTGGAATCATAAAACAAAAAGTTTGCATAAAAGAAACATATAAAATCGTTAAGAGGGCCAAATTTCTTGAGCATATGACAAACTGGACAGCAATGAGTAGTGATCACATGTTTTAAACGGAGATAAGAAGTTCAGTATCTGCAAAAGTGAGCAAAACCACAAAGCAGAAGATCTAGGAAGGAATTGAAAATAAAGAAGTCAATATAAAAAGTCAAACCTGTATCTCTTTTTCATGATGTTTAAGAATCTTCGCAGCACCGAGAAGCATAGCCACATGAGCATCATGACCACAACCATGCATCTTTCCTGGTACTTTACTCTTGTGCTCCCACTCCACCATTTCCTAAAGTTAGATACAGTAATAAGTCAATGACAAAAGTACAAAACATTACAAAATTTTGAGGAAAGGCGAGCAAAAATCCTTTTGTTGTCTTATCCCATAACCAACCCATAGAAGTAAAACCATCATAATTCAAAATTCAAGAGTGTTGGGAAAGGAATCACACAAACACAGAGAAGAAGAATGTTACAGAAGTTTTTGTATTGATTATCTACACACACATATGCACACCTATATCATCACACTTAGAAAAAATTACAATATGTTCATTACTCTAACTCATAACATAGTTAACTACAATAGATATTTGAATTATCTAATAACATTCCCCTTCAATTCAAATGACTCAAGGAGACAATTCCTAACATATCTCTTAGCTCTCTGAACCTTTCTCCATGCCTTTGTAAAGATACCTGCTACTCATAATTTTGTTATGAAGTGTTCTAGACCATTATACAATTGATCTTTGAGGAAGTGAAATACTATTTGTGTTTACTCCTCCCATGTGCTGCTGGATGTTTTGCTAAGTCAATTATTGATTTGTTATCTACAAATAGCTTGACTTCTCCTAAGTTCTTCACTTTGATCTCTTGCATTAATGTAAGCCACACAAGCTTGACAAGCACTCACTGAAGCTACTATATACTCAACTTCACATGAAGATAGGACCACCACGGATTCCTTCTTTAGCACCAAGAGATTGGTGCTTTTCCACACATAAAAACATAACTCGCAGTACTCTTTGGATCAGATTTATAACCATACCAATCTGAGATAGAGTACCCAAGCAATTCAATTTCTGAGTTATCACTTCCTTTAGGAGATAGAATTCCATAATCCAAGGTTCATTTCACATAGCACATTACTATTTGTTACCAATAAGTGAGGTTTCCTTCATGTCTCCATGATTTTGTTCATTAAGCCAACACTAGATGCTAAATCAGGTATAATATTGCACAAAGTGATCCAACAATTAGTTTGAAGCAGGTAGGATAAATAAGTTCCTTAGTCCCTTTTTTTTCAAGTATCAATCTAGATGCAGCTCGTGTGACAGTGAAGTTGCACTTAAACATGCTAATTTCTTTAATAAGTCAGTTGCATATTGAGTTTGATGCATCACAATACCATTCTCTGTTGTATTAAATTCAGTGCGAAGGAAATCAGACCACTCCTTTCAAACTCTTTAATCATCTCTTGCTAACAAAATGTCTTGAATCTCCCCTTGATTGCTACCTGTCACCAATAAGTCATCAACATAGAGACAAACAATTAACAAATCTGTATCAGTGACCACAGCCAAGACCTTTAGATACACTCCATGCTCAGATATGCATTTAACAAAGCCTATTTGGCTTAGAAAATTACCTATTCTCTTGTTGCAAGCCCTTGGGGCTTGCTTAAAAAAGCCTTCCTCAATTTGTATACTTTCTCTTGTCCCAATATCTCAAAGCCTAGAGGTTGAATCACGTACACTTCCTCATCTAGTAGTACATTTAAGAAAACCAACTTCACATCTAATTGATGCACAGACCACTTTCTTAAATTTGCTATAGCATCCATAAATCTCACTCTTTCTAATATTGCAACATGTGCAAAGACTGCCCCATGGTCAACTTCTGGCATTTGTAGAAAATCTTTGGCTTCAAGTCTGGCCTTATATTTGACCACTTCATCACTTGGATTCACTTGCACTTTATACACCCACTTTAACACTATAGGTTTCTTTCCATGAGGCAAATGACAAGCTCCCATCTTTCATTCTTTTCAATAGAACTCAATTCTACTTCCATTGCATTGACCCATTTAGGCTCTTGCATTACTTTCTCAGAACTGATTGAATCAGATTCAAAAATGGTGCATAGCGCACCAATTCTCCTTCTGAATCAGCAGCAGAATCTTGCATCATTTCATAGTCATGTCAGGCTGATGCTTGACCTGGTTGATCTCCTCAATCCAGTAGCTCTGTCAGTTTCATGTTTATTAGGACTTTTAAGATCTATTAGCATCCCGTGATCCCTTCTCAGCTTCTGTGTTCCAATCACAGCTTAAATTCATGAATCATAACATCTCTATTGATTACAACTGGCTCATTTCTTGGGTTAGCGAATCTGTAACCACCAGTAGAACAATATCCAACAAGAACCATCTGCTCTCCCTTATCACCTAGCTTTCTTCTCAATTGATCAGGCATATGTCAGAAATATATAAAGCCGAAAACTCTAAAGTTAGTCCGGTTTGATACCAGTCCATGTCTCTTTTGGCGTCTTACCACTCAATCTTTTAGTTGAACTTCTATTTAGAATGAAAGCAGCAGGGCAGGCTGTTTAACCCCACAAATAAGTAGGAACTTTCTTACTCTTGAGCATGCTCCTCACCATGTTCTTTCTCTCAGCAGCAGAATTATGTTGTGAAGTGTAAGGTGATGTTACTTCATGCACAATATCTTCTGTCTCCCAAATTTTTGTAACTCGTCTGACAGATACTCACCACCTACACCGGTTCTTAACACTTTTACATAGCAGCCACTCTTTTTCTATTAAAATTTTAATACACCTTGTTAACTCTTCTTTGCATCTCATTGATAATACTTGAATTTGGTTGAAGTAATCAACAATAGACAAATGATCGGACACATAAAGTAACTCATATTGCCTTCAAAGAGTTTGGAACTTCACCTTCTTCGTTTTGTCAACCCCTATCCCAAGCTTGTTTCGATGTTGTACCTTTGGAGATCTTCTGAAAGACTGCAGCATCGACGCACTGATGAATTAGAATGCAAGCTTTCTGAATTCTTTATGTTGCCATATGCTACTTGATAGTATTTTTTCCTAATTCTTGAAACCCATTCCTGACAAGCCAAAAATAGCATTCACCTTCACCGAACGGTAAGACTCCTGGAACAACACCACTAGAACCCACTATCCTTCACCACTTGAACTCTGCAAAGATTTCACAGAAGAGGAATACCCAAGACAGATAAAGTACACTTTATCACACAGCAGTACTATCACACTTTAGTGGGTCCTTCATGCACACAAATTTGTTGGAAAAGGAATAACACACACGAAAGAAGAAGTTTATGTACAGACACACATACTGTACAGATTAAGTGGTGTTTATATCACCCTTATAAAAAACAATATAATCACCCCATTTCTCTAACTTATTCAGAACATAATTTATTTGCATTATATAATAACAAAAAAGCACGATAAAACATTTATATGTGAGTTTTTAAGAAAACACAAGGATTTCCTTCAATTTCTTACTATATCAAGAAAAAGCTGCCACCAAACTGTCTAACCAAACAAATCAAGAATGCGCAGAAGTTATATGACCTGCATGGGGAGAGCATCCATATCAGCTCTTATTGCAACAAAAGGCGATCTTCCAGTCCCAATGAAGCCAATTATACCAGTGATTGCAACAGGGTGTTTATAGGGTATACCCAGTTGATCCAATTCTGCTCTAATCAATTTACTGGTCTCAAACTCCTCATAACCCAATTCTGGATTCTCGTGAATCTTCCTTCTGATTCTGACCATATAGTCAAATACCTCAGGCTTCTTGGCAGCATCTAGAAAGTTGACAGGGAGTTGTGTGGATGAATCTGTTAACGAGAAGATGCGAGGTGTTGCAGCAAAGACGTGAAAAACGATGAACAAAGAGAGCCAGTTGAATAAATTCATGGTGAGTGGGTGAGAGCAAGAAGAACAATGAACCACGGTAGATGACAAACAGGGTGTGATCAACACTCTTATATTAAAATTTGGAATTGAGCATAGACAACTTTAAATAACTTTAAATCTTCTCTCCTTCTCAAACACAGATTCATATATAAAAAATTTAAAGTAAATGAATTAGAGTGATTATATTTATTTTTAAGATTTAAGGACTTGTATAAAAGTTTGAAAAGAAAAATTCACATCAAAATATAAAAATTTAGAGTAATTATATGTACTTTTAAGATTTAAGAAATTGTATAAAAGTTTGAAAAAAAAATTCACATCAAAATATAAAAGTTAAAAATATATTTAATCAAAAAATGAAAAATGGGGTAAAAAAAAATAATTAATGTTTGAGGTACGTGAATGAAGTCCCTCACTCAAAGCACTCTAAGTTGTCTTGAAAACCAGATAAGTTTCCTGGTGGTGATCCTCCATCCTCGGTTACGTTGTTTGCTTTCCCTTCTTCTTGTCCCAGTCGTGTGGGTAGATACCTGCCAAACACACTCTGACGCTCAAGTTAGTAATATAACCGATCGGTTGGCATAGAAAGTAATGCATATATAGTGCATCGTGATCATAAAGTCATACCTGAGACCTTTATTTATACTAGTTGTGATGAACTTTTACCTTTCGTTGGCCTAATGACGGTCCAATCACACCTTAATATGCATTAAGTGCTTAATGAGTCATTACCACTTAACACAACCTAGGTGAACAACCATGGGAGGATCGTACAGGAGGACGACCATGTGGGAAGACGTCCAGGGAGGACGGTGGATGACCGGGGAGGTCGGCCTGGGAGGACCGTATGGTTCTTAGGAGGACCGTACGGTACACAAGTCCCCCAAGCCCGAGCATGATGTTATTATGCGAAGGGGTTCTGTACATGGCTTTCTTGATAAGGACGGGTTCTCCGGTTGGCTTGTGTCTTTGTCCTCACTGTTCGTTGATCAAGATGGGTGGTTGAAAAAACGAGTCTTGTCTTTGTCAAATGAGCTGAATACGTTACTGATCCTTCGATGAGGAGGTCAAGATTTCTTTAGTGAAGATCCACGGTCGCCGACCTTTGGTGAGGCCGGTCGAAATTCCTTTGGTACAGATCCACGGTCACCGACCTTTGGTGAGGCTGGTCGGGATTCCTTTGGTGAAGATCCACGGTCGTTGACCTTTTGTGAGGCCGGCCGAGATTCCTTTGGTGAAGATCCACGGTCGCCGGCCTTCGGTGAGGCCGGCCGAGATTCCTTTGGTGAAGGTCCACGGTCGCCAACCTCGATGAGGCCAGCCGGGTGAAGCCAAGGTATGGCTGAACAATTGAGGCCAAATGCCCAGATGATTGAGGCTAAATTTGGCTAAGTACCTGTGAGGCCGGATGACCGAGAAGTTGAGGTCGGATAACCGAATGCTTGATGCCAAATTTGGCTAAGTACCTAGGAGGTCGGATGGTCGAATAGTTGAGGCCGGATGATCGGATGATTGAGGCCAAATTTGGCTAAGTACCTGAGAGGTCGGATGGCCGAGCAATTGAAGTCGGATGGTCGGATGATTGAAGCCAAATTTGGCTAAGTACCTGGGAGGCCGGATAGCCGAGCAGTTGAGGCCAGATGACCGGATGATTAAGGCCAAATTTGGCTAAGTACCTGGGAGGCCAGATGACCAAGGAGTTGAGGTCGGACGCTTGATGCCAAATTTGGCTAAGTACTTGGGAGACCGGATGGGGGAGCAGTTGAGGTAGGATAGCCATATGCTTGATGCTAAATTTGGCTAAGTACCTAGGAGGCCGGATGAGCTAGCAGTTGAGGCCAAATGGGCGGATGCTTGATGCCAAATTTGGCTAAGTACTTGGGAGGCCGGATGGCCGAGTAGTTGAGGTCGGATGAATTGGATGATTGAGGCCAAAGTTGGCTAAGTACCTGTGAAGCCGGATGACCAAACAGTTGAGGTCGTATTGCCGGATGATATAGGCCAAATTTGACTAAGTACTTGGGAGGCCAGATGACCGAGTAGTTGAGGCTGGATAACCGGATGATTGAGGCCAAATTTGGTTAAGTACATGGGAGGCCGGATGACCGAGCAATTGAGGTCGGATACCGGATGCTTGATGCCAAACGGTCGAATGATCGACTTCGTAAGGCCGAAAGGTTGACGTCTTTTAAAGCATCACTCACTAGTTCCTTATTGCTACAATGGGGGATACTAGCTTAGCCCCACGGTAGGCGCCAAAATGTTTCGGGTATAGAGTCTCTTACTCGAAGCACTCCAAGTTGTCTTGAAGACCGGACGACTCCCTAGTGATCTTCCAATCTCCAAGTTACGTTGTTCACTCTCCCTTTTTCTTGTCCCAGCCGTGTGGGTGGATACCTGTCAAAGACACTTTGACGCTCAAGTTTGTAATATAACCGAACGGTTGGCATAGCAAGTAATGTATATATTGTGCATCATGATCATAAAGTCATATCTGAGACCTTTATTTATACTAGTTGTGATAAGCTTTTACCTTTTGTTAGCCTAATGACGATCCAATTACATCTTAATTTGTATTAAGGACTTATTGAGTCATTACCACTTAACACGAACTAGGTGAATGACTAGTTTGAAAGGACGTTTAAGAAGGATGGTATACGACCTGAGAGGACGGTCTTAGAAAAACCATACAGAAGAACAACTATGGTTCCTGGGAGGACCGGTACAGTTAAAGAAAGTTTATCCTTTTTCATAAATATAAAATAAGAAAGAAAAAGTATTTAGAACTCATGTGAAAGTTACTTTCTTCAATTTAAGAAGAAGAAAACAAAGATTTAAAGTTGATAAAATTAATATAAATATAACAAAAACATAATTTAAAAGTTAATATTATTTTTCTATGTCATTTTCACACATAATTGTGTTAATTTGTGAAAATGAATTTAAAACATGTTTGGAAATAAAATATGTTAAATTTTTTAAAGTTAGAGGTGAAAAAAAAATGAAAGTAAAATTTATTAAAATTTGAAAATATAATAAAATAAAATAAATGTCTCAATAGATTAAAATTAATATTATTATTTTATCTTTGTAATTAAAGTTAATATATTATTATTATTTTTATTTAGTTATTATTATTATTAATTATTATAATTATTAAATGTGAATGTATTATTTGTTAAAATTATAAAAAAAAATTTAGCCTGATGAATGTTACTTTAGTGCTTCACCCGTCCTTTCTCTGTCATTCTCTTCCTCCTTCCTTACCTCAAATCATCTCTTTCATTGCTACAGCTCCCATAATTTCATCTTCTTCTTCAACAGTGTATAAGTAGAAATAAACACAGCCTGAAGTACCCAATTCAAAAGTTGGATCAAGGCAATTTTGGAAAGAGTAAAGATAATATGACATTCATTTAATAAAGATAAAATAATTTTAAAAAATATTTTTTTATAATTCTAAAAAAATGTTTAAAAAAAATATATTTGTGTCAAAGTATATTTTTCTTTTGAATATTCTCAAACATTTGTCTTTTGAATACACCACCCACATCACAACTAAATTTGCTCTGCACATTTGGCAGGTTTTTATTCCACATTAAACATTCTCTTCCTTATTTATGTGAGTTTTAATAGCTACACATACCAAAATTTTTGTGACAAATTAAATTTGGTTTAATTAGTATTCCATTCATGTGTTAGTCATAAATCTCTTTCAAGGGAGAAATTAAATGCACTGAATCTGTATAATTTTATTTTCTTTGAAAAAATACATATTGGACTGGTTTTTGCTGAAATCCACAGAAATCAATTAATATTTGTTGAATGTAATTTTGATTATTTAGTTTTTAATCATATATTAATTCAAATTGTACAACTTTTTTTTCTTTTTTTTTTCATTCTGGTGGATATTATCTTCTTTTTCTTTATTTGTTTAGAATTTTCATTCCGTTTCACTTTTTCTCTTTTCTGTTAGATTCTAGTTTGTAATAATTGGTGAGTTTAAAAATCATTCTTAACCGACCAAAACTTAAATATAACTTGATGCTTTTTGAGAATATTTTTATTCTTTTTTTCTGTTTGTGTTATGGTTTGAAAAAGTGACATTAAAAATAATTATTGTCCTTGAAATTCAGTTGTAATTGGTTATATAATTCAAGAACTCTAAGGTCTTGAAATTTTTTAATTATTTCATGTGTTTTTTTTAAACTTGATTTGTTTAAATTCGATTATGTTAAGACTACATTGAATCTCAAAATGAAGAAATGAAAAAAAAAAACAATGCGTGCATGAATAATTATTGAATATACTATGAAATATTTAATATTATGTGAATAATCAATCTATATATATATATATATATATATATATATATNTCTCTTTTGGCGTCTTACCACTCAATCTTTTAGTTGAACTTCTATTTAGAATGAAAGCAGCAGGGCAGGCTGTTTAACCCCACAAATAAGTAGGAACTTTCTTACTCTTGAGCATGCTCCTCACCATGTTCTTTCTCTCAGCAGCAGAATTATGTTGTGAAGTGTAAGGTGATGTTACTTCATGCACAATATCTTCTGTCTCCCAAATTTTTGTAACTCGTCTGACAGATACTCACCACCTACACCGGTTCTTAACACTTTTACATAGCAGCCACTCTTTTTCTATTAAAATTTTAATACACCTTGTTAACTCTTCTTTGCATCTCATTGATAATACTTGAATTTGGTTGAAGTAATCAACAATAGACAAATGATCGGACACATAAAGTAACTCATATTGCCTTCAAAGAGTTTGGAACTTCACCTTCTTCGTTTTGTCAACCCCTATCCCAAGCTTGTTTCGATGTTGTACCTTTGGAGATCTTCTGAAAGACTGCAGCATCGACGCACTGATGAATTAGAATGCAAGCTTTCTGAATTCTTTATGTTGCCATATGCTACTTGATAGTATTTTTTCCTAATTCTTGAAACCCATTCCTGACAAGCCAAAAATAGCATTCACCTTCACCGAACGGTAAGACTCCTGGAACAACACCACTAGAACCCACTATCCTTCACCACTTGAACTCTGCAAAGATTTCACAGAAGAGGAATACCCAAGACAGATAAAGTACACTTTATCACACAGCAGTACTATCACACTTTAGTGGGTCCTTCATGCACACAAATTTGTTGGAAAAGGAATAACACACACGAAAGAAGAAGTTTATGTACAGACACACATACTGTACAGATTAAGTGGTGTTTATATCACCCTTATAAAAAACAATATAATCACCCCATTTCTCTAACTTATTCAGAACATAATTTATTTGCATTATATAATAACAAAAAAGCACGATAAAACATTTATATGTGAGTTTTTAAGAAAACACAAGGATTTCCTTCAATTTCTTACTATATCAAGAAAAAGCTGCCACCAAACTGTCTAACCAAACAAATCAAGAATGCGCAGAAGTTATATGACCTGCATGGGGAGAGCATCCATATCAGCTCTTATTGCAACAAAAGGCGATCTTCCAGTCCCAATGAAGCCAATTATACCAGTGATTGCAACAGGGTGTTTATAGGGTATACCCAGTTGATCCAATTCTGCTCTAATCAATTTACTGGTCTCAAACTCCTCAAAACCCAATTCTGGATTCTCGTGAATCTTCCTTCTGATTCTGACCATATAGTCAAATACCTCAGGCTTCTTGGCAGCATCTAGAAAGTTGACAGGGAGTTGTGTGGATGAATCTGTTAACGAGAAGATGCGAGGTGTTGCAGCAAAGACGTGAAAAACGATGAACAAAGAGAGCCAGTTGAACAAATTCATGGTGAGTGGGTGAGAGCAAGAAGAACAATGAACCACGGTAGATGACAAACAGGGTGTGATCAACACTCTTATATTAAAATTTGGAATTGAGCATAGACAACTTTAAATAACTTTAAATCTTCTCTCCTTCTCAAACACAGATTCATATATAAAAAATTTAAAGTAAATGAATTAGAGTGATTATATTTATTTTTAAGATTTAAGGACTTGTATAAAAGTTTGAAAAGAAAAATTCACATCAAAATATAAAAATTTAGAGTAATTATATGTACTTTTAAGATTTAAGAAATTGTATAAAAGTTTGAAAAAAAAATTCACATCAAAATATAAAAGTTAAAAATATATTTAATCAAAAAATGAAAAATGGGGTAAAAAAAAATAATTAATGTTTGAGGTACGTGAATGAAGTCCCTCACTCAAAGCACTCTAAGTTGTCTTGAAAACCAGATAAGTTTCCTGGTGGTGATCCTCCATCCTCGGTTACGTTGTTTGCTTTCCCTTCTTCTTGTCCCAGTCGTGTGGGTAGATACCTGCCAAACACACTCTGACGCTCAAGTTAGTAATATAACCGATCGGTTGGCATAGAAAGTAATGCATATATAGTGCATCGTGATCATAAAGTCATACCTGAGACCTTTATTTATACTAGTTGTGATGAACTTTTACCTTTCGTTGGCCTAATGACGGTCCAATCACACCTTAATATGCATTAAGTGCTTAATGAGTCATTACCACTTAACACAACCTAGGTGAACAACCATGGGAGGATCGTACAGGAGGACGACCATGTGGGAAGACGTCCAGGGAGGACGGTGGATGACCGGGGAGGTCGGCCTGGGAGGACCGTATGGTTCTTAGGAGGACCGTACGGTACACAAGTCCCCCAAGCCCGAGCATGATGTTATTATGCGAAGGGGTTCTGTACATGGCTTTCTTGATAAGGACGGGTTCTCCGGTTGGCTTGTGTCTTTGTCCTCACTGTTCGTTGATCAAGATGGGTGGTTGAAAAAACGAGTCTTGTCTTTGTCAAATGAGCTGAATACGTTACTGATCCTTCGATGAGGAGGTCAAGATTTCTTTAGTGAAGATCCACGGTCGCCGACCTTTGGTGAGGCCGGTCGAAATTCCTTTGGTACAGATCCACGGTCACCGACCTTTGGTGAGGCTGGTCGGGATTCCTTTGGTGAAGATCCACGGTCGTTGACCTTTTGTGAGGCCGGCCGAGATTCCTTTGGTGAAGATCCACGGTCGCCGGCCTTCGGTGAGGCCGGCCGAGATTCCTTTGGTGAAGGTCCACGGTCGCCAACCTCGATGAGGCCAGCCGGGTGAAGCCAAGGTATGGCTGAACAATTGAGGCCAAATGCCCAGATGATTGAGGCTAAATTTGGCTAAGTACCTGTGAGGCCGGATGACCGAGAAGTTGAGGTCGGATAACCGAATGCTTGATGCCAAATTTGGCTAAGTACCTAGGAGGTCGGATGGTCGAATAGTTGAGGCCGGATGATCGGATGATTGAGGCCAAATTTGGCTAAGTACCTGAGAGGTCGGATGGCCGAGCAATTGAAGTCGGATGGTCGGATGATTGAAGCCAAATTTGGCTAAGTACCTGGGAGGCCGGATAGCCGAGCAGTTGAGGCCAGATGACCGGATGATTAAGGCCAAATTTGGCTAAGTACCTGGGAGGCCAGATGACCAAGGAGTTGAGGTCGGACGCTTGATGCCAAATTTGGCTAAGTACTTGGGAGACCGGATGGGGGAGCAGTTGAGGTAGGATAGCCATATGCTTGATGCTAAATTTGGCTAAGTACCTAGGAGGCCGGATGAGCTAGCAGTTGAGGCCAAATGGGCGGATGCTTGATGCCAAATTTGGCTAAGTACTTGGGAGGCCGGATGGCCGAGTAGTTGAGGTCGGATGAATTGGATGATTGAGGCCAAAGTTGGCTAAGTACCTGTGAAGCCGGATGACCAAACAGTTGAGGTCGTATTGCCGGATGATATAGGCCAAATTTGACTAAGTACTTGGGAGGCCAGATGACCGAGTAGTTGAGGCTGGATAACCGGATGATTGAGGCCAAATTTGGTTAAGTACATGGGAGGCCGGATGACCGAGCAATTGAGGTCGGATACCGGATGCTTGATGCCAAACGGTCGAATGATCGACTTCGTAAGGCCGAAAGGTTGACGTCTTTTAAAGCATCACTCACTAGTTCCTTATTGCTACAATGGGGGATACTAGCTTAGCCCCACGGTAGGCGCCAAAATGTTTCGGGTATAGAGTCTCTTACTCGAAGCACTCCAAGTTGTCTTGAAGACCGGACGACTCCCTAGTGATCTTCCAATCTCCAAGTTACGTTGTTCACTCTCCCTTTTTCTTGTCCCAGCCGTGTGGGTGGATACCTGTCAAAGACACTTTGACGCTCAAGTTTGTAATATAACCGAACGGTTGGCATAGCAAGTAATGTATATATTGTGCATCATGATCATAAAGTCATATCTGAGACCTTTATTTATACTAGTTGTGATAAGCTTTTACCTTTTGTTAGCCTAATGACGATCCAATTACATCTTAATTTGTATTAAGGACTTATTGAGTCATTACCACTTAACACGAACTAGGTGAATGACTAGTTTGAAAGGACGTTTAAGAAGGATGGTATACGACCTGAGAGGACGGTCTTAGAAAAACCATACAGAAGAACAACTATGGTTCCTGGGAGGACCGGTACAGTTAAAGAAAGTTTATCCTTTTTCATAAATATAAAATAAGAAAGAAAAAGTATTTAGAACTCATGTGAAAGTTACTTTCTTCAATTTAAGAAGAAGAAAACAAAGATTTAAAGTTGATAAAATTAATATAAATATAACAAAAACATAATTTAAAAGTTAATATTATTTTTCTATGTCATTTTCACACATAATTGTGTTAATTTGTGAAAATGAATTTAAAACATGTTTGGAAATAAAATATGTTAAATTTTTTAAAGTTAGAGGTGAAAAAAAAATGAAAGTAAAATTTATTAAAATTTGAAAATATAATAAAATAAAATAAATGTCTCAATAGATTAAAATTAATATTATTATTTTATCTTTGTAATTAAAGTTAATATATTATTATTATTTTTATTTAGTTATTATTATTATTAATTATTATAATTATTAAATGTGAATGTATTATTTGTTAAAATTATAAAAAAAAATTTAGCCTGATGAATGTTACTTTAGTGCTTCACCCGTCCTTTCTCTGTCATTCTCTTCCTCCTTCCTTACCTCAAATCATCTCTTTCATTGCTACAGCTCCCATAATTTCATCTTCTTCTTCAACAGTGTATAAGTAGAAATAAACACAGCCTGAAGTACCCAATTCAAAAGTTGGATCAAGGCAATTTTGGAAAGAGTAAAGATAATATGACATTCATTTAATAAAGATAAAATAATTTTAAAAAATATTTTTTTATAATTCTAAAAAAATGTTTAAAAAAAATATATTTGTGTCAAAGTATATTTTTCTTTTGAATATTCTCAAACATTTGTCTTTTGAATACACCACCCACATCACAACTAAATTTGCTCTGCACATTTGGCAGGTTTTTATTCCACATTAAACATTCTCTTCCTTATTTATGTGAGTTTTAATAGCTACACATACCAAAATTTTTGTGACAAATTAAATTTGGTTTAATTAGTATTCCATTCATGTGTTAGTCATAAATCTCTTTCAAGGGAGAAATTAAATGCACTGAATCTGTATAATTTTATTTTCTTTGAAAAAATACATATTGGACTGGTTTTTGCTGAAATCCACAGAAATCAATTAATATTTGTTGAATGTAATTTTGATTATTTAGTTTTTAATCATATATTAATTCAAATTGTACAACTTTTTTTTCTTTTTTTTTTCATTCTGGTGGATATTATCTTCTTTTTCTTTATTTGTTTAGAATTTTCATTCCGTTTCACTTTTTCTCTTTTCTGTTAGATTCTAGTTTGTAATAATTGGTGAGTTTAAAAATCATTCTTAACCGACCAAAACTTAAATATAACTTGATGCTTTTTGAGAATATTTTTATTCTTTTTTTCTGTTTGTGTTATGGTTTGAAAAAGTGACATTAAAAATAATTATTGTCCTTGAAATTCAGTTGTAATTGGTTATATAATTCAAGAACTCTAAGGTCTTGAAATTTTTTAATTATTTCATGTGTTTTTTTTAAACTTGATTTGTTTAAATTCGATTATGTTAAGACTACATTGAATCTCAAAATGAAGAAATGAAAAAAAAAAACAATGCGTGCATGAATAATTATTGAATATACTATGAAATATTTAATATTATGTGAATAATCAATCTATATATATATATATATATATATATATATATATCTTCCTTCTTATATTTTGGGTTCTCACAATTAAACCAGTGATTATGACAAAGAAAATTTTATAACTTATAGATGAAAAAAATATTGTATATGAAAATTAAAAAAATACATTGTCCATTCAAATATAAATGGTAACATCCCAAAAATACAGTATAAAAATTATATAAGAGAATAATCACATATTAATAATATCAATATTACAAAAGATGAAACGTACGCTTATGACCGAACGACCTTACAAGATAACGGAGAAATTAAAACTGTACAAATATGCAATCTAGACCGAACGGTTTACAAAAGACGTACCGAACGGTTATACAAAAGAAGAAAACAACAGATGACCGAACAATTATCACACAAAGAAACTAACTACTGACCAAACGGCTCTACTGTTCAGTCTTAACTTCTACCTCGACCAAACTTTCTTCTTTCAGGCCTCTTCCAGCAAAGCTTCTCCTTCTGCTTACATCCACACGGATGATCATTGCAACAGAAGGATAACCACCGAATGTACAAAACGGACAAGACAGGAAATAGGGTAAGCTTATGTAATTTAATTCAATTATCAACATATATCTCACTCAATCAATTTAAACAAGATAACTCATTAACTCTTTCATGCAAAGCCTAATACTAGATATGACTGTCCGGACTGTATGAATTCTGTGTAGCTACGACGTTCGTACACCCGGGTGATGTAGTAACTGAGATGCCCTCAACAGCTGCCACCCGAGGTT